AGAAACTTTTAAAAACAAAAATGCTAGAGTTATAAGCTAATTAATTCTTCGTGTGATAATTACATAATGACTGGAAGAGTTACTGAATGTTCTCCTTTTCCTATTGCTGTGTTCTGTAGTTGGGATATAGATATATAAATATGAGTAGCTGCCAAAAGTCAAGAGATTCTTTGAAACTTTTACAGAAAATAATGTTGAGTTTCCATGAAGAGCAGGAAGTGTTGCCAGAAACTTTCCTTGCCAACTTCCCTTCTCTGATAAAGATGGATATTCACAAAAAAGTAACTGACCCAAGTGTAGCCAAAAGCATGATGGCTTGCCTCCTGTCTTCACTGAAGGCTAATGGTGAGTACGGTATTTGTGCGGTTGCTGGTGTTTGGGGCTAAGTGGGGACAGGATAAAAAGTAAATTACGGTGAATTTACATTCCCTTCCCCACCATTTATGGTTTGGCTTCTGAATTATTAGTGGTGTGAGAATTGCACGTGTATTAATAATTGGAAAATGCTCCTCTTTTACACTATAAATGCTTATTTTGAGCTCTGTTGAAATGAGACATGAACACATGAGGTTAAGTTTATTTTGCCAGGAGACTCACTATGATAATTGAAAATTAAATGAACCTCGGGGAGAAACTTCATTTAGGAATTCAGAGTTGCCAATTTTTTTGAGTTTGCCGGATTCAACCTTCAGAAATAATTTTGCTTTATATTAGTGGTATGAAAACTTTTTCTGTAAAGGGCTTGATAATAAATATCCTAGACTTTAATAATTAATTAATTAAAAGAAGGTAGTAGGAAGGGAAAAATGAAGGGGGGAAATAATTTATTTTATTTTATTTATTTATTTTAAAGATTTTATTTACTTATTTTGACGGAGAGAGACACAACGAGAGAGGGAAAACAAGCAGGGGGAGTGGGAGAGGGAGAAGCAGGCTCCCTGCCAAGCAGGGAACCCGGGATCATGACCTGAGCCAAAGGCAGATGCTTAACGATTGAGTACACTCTATGCCCAGTGTAGGGCTTGAACTCAAAGTCACATGCTCTACCTAGTGAGCCAGCCGGATGCCGCTATATATATATTTTCTTTTTTTACACAACCTTTAAGAAGTGTAAACTATTTTTACTTCTTGTGCAATACAAAAATGGGCAGCTTGTTTGAGACCAATCCTTAGAGGGTTGTTGATACATGGGAATGCACTTATTTGCATCTTTGTATCATTTGAGTCAGTGGTGTCACCTTTGTGGAATAATTTAAACAACTCTGTCTGAAGATAGCATAATTCTCACTGTTGTGCTTGGGACAGAATCACGCAGGTATATGAGGTATGTCTTAGAATATACAACATATTCTGATTATATGTGACGTAGGCTGGAATGGCCTTTGCCCTGTGGGCCCTTCAAAGGTACTTTATATTAAAAACATTAAACAGGAGTGCCTGGGTGGCTCAGTCGTTAAGCATCTGCCTTCGGCTCAGGTCATGATCCCAGGGTCCTGGGATCGAGCCCCGCGTCGGGCTCCTTGCTCCGCAGGGGAGCCTGCTACTCCCTCTCCCACTCCCCCTGCTTGTGTTGCCTCTCTCGCTGTGTCTCTCTCTGTCAAATAAATAAAGTCTTAAAAAAAAAACAATAAACAGAGGTGTCCTTTGCCTTGCTCCATGTATTTTAATTTGAGGTTTCTTATAGCCTTTTCCTCAAAAGATTTTCTTTCTGGGGAAGAGTTTCACTGACAGTTGAATTTTTTTTACATTGAGGTATTTTTGACAGTTAAGAATTGTATATATTTAAGTTGTACAATTTGATGATTTGAAATACATCGTGAATAATCACCACATTCAAGCTAGTTTAACATATCCATCTCTTAAGATAGTTGCCAGTGCAATATTTGGTACTGAAATGTTAATATTCATTGAATATTAATATGAATTCTAAAAATTGTATGAAATTTAGGAGCTGTTATAGACAAGTTCTATTATCATCTATTTGAAATATATTGAAAATTCATCACAATTCCTAACCATGATTCTAACTGACCTTTACATTTTTTAATATTTGTTTTATTTCTAGGCTCCCGGGGGGCTTTCTGTGAAGTGAGACCAGATGATAAAAGAATTCTGGAATTTTACAGCAAGTTAGGCTGTTTTGAAATTGCAAAAATGGAAGGATTTCCAAAGGATGTGGTTATACTTGGTCGGAGCCTGTGACATTTGTTGGCACTTTGAACTGTCCGAAAGTCTCTTAACTTCACCTGGTGGGTGGTGGTTGGGGTCTTCATACGGTTGAGCCTCTGGAATGGCAACAAATCAGCCAATTGGGATTGGAAACGAAGACTGTTGTAAAACTCACCAATCACACTTTGAGATTATTCACTGGTTGGAAGATAGTATTGATGCAAATCCTGTTTGAAACAGATGTGGGCCTCCTTTCTGGGTCTTGTGTTAGGTGCCAAGACCTCTACATGGGCTTATAGGGAGGGGGTCTTCAATAAATGTAGTCAGCACTGTGTTCTGCATCCAGTGTGGTTGCATTTCTCATCTAATAAGAGTAATCAAAATCATTTGTCATCCTCTTTGGCTTATTGAATGAAATGTCTTTGATTCTTTGGGGACATGTCAGAAATGAGAAAGATTTAGTAGGTTTCAGAGGCTTCAGGGTAGAGATTTCAAGTGGGATGGGTTTTAAGCTGAATAAATGATTTTAATTTGGGGCAGTTTTTCTGCTCTTTGTAAAGCCATGGCCAATTGTCTCTTGTAGTGACATTGGTTCAGGCATGTTGTGCTTTTGTAGGGACAAATGTGCAGTTGTTTGTGGCAAAAGCTTAAAAATAGCAAACTTGTAAATTTTTGTATATAAACTAGTTGTAACCTGACTTTTGTGTTCACTGTTTTTGTAATTTTTTTTCCTTTTGAAAATGAAAGGGTGTGGTTCAGGATGGCACTTTGAATAATGTAAATCAGTGGAAGATTGATTTTCTTTACTTTTCCCTTTGTTTGATTTGTTTTTTTTTTTTTTTTAAGTTTTATTATTTTTGAAGTGCCTCCCACCTAGGGCTAGGCCATGACCACTTTGGGTACGAGAGCCTAACTTCATGGGACTCAATCTGTTGCAAAGTGCAGTCACTTCTGGAAATTAACCTCGATGCAGGTCAGCATGTGAAATGTTAGTTTTGACATCTATCAAGTAGGGTTCAGGGACTGATTGGTCCCATTTGCCCTGAGATCAGTTGTCCTTTAATGTCAAGACCTGTTACAACTGGTTTTATTAAATCACAGTCTTTAATTCTTGCATGTTTGTATCTAATTTTTAAAAGAAACAATGAGCACACTTTAACCAATGACTTATGGTTACCCTTTACTTTTTCCTTTAACCACAGATTCTGGAAGCTCCATGTATTTTAATTGAGATTTGGTGTTTTTAGGGGTTCTGAGCATGAGGCTAGCAGGTAATCTCTGCAGGATTCATTTTTTCATCATGGCTGGCTGACTTTTCCATGGATTCAGAACAGTATTTTGTTATCTTGCTTCCCTGCAGTTTTGTTAAATCGGCTATTTTACTTTGAGCTGAGGTGGGAGGGGCAAGGAGAAGGAAACCTGAAACATTTTCCTTCATGAAGTTCCTTCAGTGTGGGCTTGGAATCTTAAAAGCATTGTACCTAGTGGTGTCTAGTGACTTTCAACCAGGGCCTGTGAGTGTGCACTGAATTTGTAAGATGAAGGGAGGGGAAGGAGGAGAACCTCTTCATTTTCAGGGTAGAAACCTTTAACTGATAGAAGGGTATGATGTTGGAAAGCTGGAACCAAGTTTGCATTTTCAAGGGCTAGGGGGAAGGGAAGATCTCTACAGAATACTGTTTAAAACAGCTTAGTGCCACTTGGTTGTCTCTTTAAGTACATGTTGTACACTAGTAGACAGTTCTAGCATTTATCTGGAGGATTTCAGGGTCAACCTATGGAATCAGGATTTTTAGCAAGTTTGCTTGTGGTTTTATCTTGGCTTATAATAATCATTTGGCTGGTCTTCTGGTCATAGGTGCTAACTATGAAACAGATGTCCAGGCCTATACTTTCATCACTCTAGGATGGTAAAGTGCTATGCTCTCTTCTATGGCTATGAATATTTATTAAGGTTGGAATGACATTTCATTGATTGTTTAGATCACAGCTCAGTTCCTGTAGAAAACGAACTGTAAAACTATCTGAAGACCATGCAAGAGGCAAAATAAAACTTGAAGTGAATGTGTGTGGTGGTGTACTGTGTAAACCTACTTCTTGTTTCTACCTGGTACCTTTTCTCCTGCCTTTCATGCCTCACCTATAAGCAAGTATTCTCCACAGCTGTTCCAAGTTAGGGGCTGCATCTTCTCATTCCCATCTTTAGCAAAAAGACTTCTTGGCAGATTTTCCTCAAGGCAAGCAAGGTAAAAGATGAAAGTAGACTACTCTTGGCCAAGCCACCCTCTTCCCACAGTTAACAGCCTGGGCGTGAGTTAGGGCAGCTAGTTTGAATGAGTTCCCTTAATCTAGTGGGATAAGGAATACAGTTTCAGTTTATCAGATTCTTTGGACAAAAGGTGAATGATGGGGGTTGGAGAGTTGCCCTGCCCAAACTATGTGACAGAGGAGTCTAAGGTGGATGTTTTGGGTTGATTGTAATAAGCTCCAAAACGTGTCTGCCAGGAGTAGCATCCCCAAATCTAAGATGATATACTTTGCTAGCAAGCTCCAGCATCAAGGCATTATCTGAAGCTTAATAAAGCTATGCCTCCTGGATAGTAAACTTAAGGTCGTTAGAGCAGGAAGCATACTAGGAAAAGGACCGAGTAGTTCCATGGTTCAAACAGAAAATACCTGTAGCTGAAAAGTAAGGATTCTCGGCTCTCTCGGAGCAAAGGCAAATAGCGTGATTCCTTTGCTTTTTTTTTTTTTTTTTTTTTTAAGATTTTATTTATTCGTGAGAGAGGCAAAAGAAGAAGCAGGCTCCCAAGGAGCAGGGAGCCTGATGCGGGATTCCTTTGCTTTTATAAGGAAAGCGCTGCCCTGAAATTCGCCTTTACAAGGGGGGTTGGAAATGTTTACACTTTTGTATCTATTCTCCCTTTAACGAAAGCTTACCTGGAGTGGGGGAGTGGAGACAGCAGAGGGTGAGAGGAACTAGAGAAAATGGAGACAGGAGCCACCCTCGGGAGCCGTGGTCACGGAAATAAGCAAAAGTATTAACAACAAAAAAATCCATGCTTCTGTGATGTTACTTCCCGCAGTCCCGACACAACGGTCTGACCAGAGGCCGGACGGGCTCCCCTGGACCGGTTGCGCCCCGGTCCTTTCTCAAACGCCAGCGGCTCCTTTAATAGGCGGGGCCGGAGCCAGCGACGAGTCCCCTGCTTTGTACGTGTCGGGGGCGGAGTTCCCAGACGGCCCTTGCAGCATGGCCGCCGGCGCCGCCGCCGCCTTAGCGTTCCTGAGTCAGGAGAGCCGAGCCCGGGCCGGAGGGATCGGGGGTCTGCGGGTCCCGGCTCCGGTCACTATGGACAGTTTCTTCTTCGGTATTGAAGAAAGGAGGGGATGAAGGTGGTGCTGGGGCGGTCGGGCAGGGCTGAACAGGAATGTAACGTGGGTGAACACGACGTGGGTGGGGGCGAAGTGGGTCCCCCGCACGCTGCAGCCCAAGCGGAAGGGGGCGGTGCGACCCCTTCTTATGTGCAGGGCGGGGCCCAGGGCCGAATGCCCCAGGTGTTCCTGAGAAGTGGGCCAGTAAATGGCCGGTCTGACCTTGGCTACACGTGACAGAGGTTTGGTGGAACACTCAGACACACTGTTACCTCTTCCAGGCTGTGAGCTCTCCGGCCACACCCGCTCTTTCACCTTCAAGGTAGAAGAAGAGGATGATTCGGAGCATGTGCTGGCTTTGACCATGGTGAGGGGCGGGGAAGGGTGGTGAATAGTTGTTCCTGAGCAGGCAACTCGGGGGGCCTCCACCCGTCCCCCCAATCCCTTTTACTGGGAGTCACCTCTTTCTGACCCTCACATGGGCGCTTCCCTGGCAAGGTGATCCGGGGACCACTGGGGCGGGGCAAGTTCTAGGGTAGATGCCTCCACTTGTGGTGCCAACCCTTGTTTGGGGAGACCCAGAGGCCCTGTGTACCCTTCCCAGCTCTGCCTCACTGAGGGGGCCAAAGATGAGTGTAATGTGGTAGAAGTCGTGGCCAGGAATCATGATCACCAGGAGATTGCAGTCCCTGTAGCCAACCTCAAGTTGTCCTGCCAGCCCATGGTGAGTTCCCCTGCCATGCTGGGTGATGGAGGTGGGGGGTAGGGCTAAGGGTGGGGGTGAGGAATTGAGGACTGAAGGACTGACTCATCACAAGGTTGGGCGGGCCAGGCCTTCATCCTTGTCTTCCTTCCAGCTCAGTTTGGATGACTTCCAGCTCCAGCCACCTGTAACCTTCCGCCTGAAATCAGGTTCTGGCCCTGTGCGGATCACTGGGAGGCACCAGATTGGTGAGAGCCCTCTCCTTTGCCTCTAGTGGCTTCCCCACCAGGTCTCCCCCACTGCTTCACACTCTTGCCCCATCCCAGCCTTATCTCCTAGTGCAGGTCCCACGTAGGCTATACCCTCCACTTTCTGTCCTATTCGAGCCTACCTCCTGCATGAAACCTGTCCCGACTTCTCCACCTCCATTAATGTGGTCTCCTTTAGCTCTCTGTCATCTTAGTATCTGAGGTTCTTCCCACCTAGATCATAAGCTCTGGGAGGTCAGGGTCCCTGCAAGCCTAGCACCACAGGGCATGAATAAACGACATATGGTATAAAGGGGGTCTGGGCTTGAACCTCCTCTTTACTGCTTACATTTCCACCAGTTACTATAAGCAATGACGTTTCTGAGCAAGAAGAGAGTGAAGAAGAAGGTAGTGAGCAGGAGGAAGCTGAGTGGTGCCCCATCCTGCCTGCCAAGAAGCAGGGGGGTAGGCCCTAGCCTCCTTGGTGAGTTGGGGGAAGGGTGTCCAGCAAGGTCTGGGATGAAGTAGGACAAGCAGGTGAAGGCCTAGATGCTGACCCCTTGTTTGCTCTTCTCAGGTCACCTGGCTACATGTGCCATGCACCATGTTCCTGTACAAGTTTCAAGAACTTTAAATGTGTCTTCTCTGTTGAAGAGGATGGGTGGGTGGGTGGGGTCTTGGGCTGGTGTTAGGAGAGAGGGTGGTCCTATCCCTCATAGAGCCCTGGTATTTTTCTAATCTTATGCCCTACCTGGGACTTCCCTTTTCTCCAGGATTGGGAGGAACTCTGAACTTCTGTCCTCACCCTCTCTCCCCACTTGCCTATGAGATTGGAGATCAGCATCTGAAGCTCAGGACTGCACATTTTTAATACTTTTTACATTTTTGGAGAAAGGTTGAAATAAAGTGATACGGAGTTTTTTGCAACTCATTTGTGTGGCTTCTTTATCTGCTGGTGTGGCATTCCCCTAGGGACCACCAGGTGGCACTGTGGCAGCATCGAGGGTGGCCCTGCGCCTGGGGAGGGTGAAGAAATGTGGGATCCTGCTATCCCTAGGACCCCGGGGGCAGGCCAGGCCTGGGCCCCAACTGCTTTGCTAAAAGAGGACCTCCCAACACCAAGCCCGTTCCCAGTCCCTACAGGTGGGGGAGGGCCATCCCAGGAGGTTATCGGCATCCAAACAAGGGGCCTGGGCCTCTGTCAGCACTCAGGCTGATGGGCAGGGGGGTAGATAAGGGGGCTTAAGCAGTCCAAGGAATGTGCATCCCTAGATTCACGAAGGGGCTCAGGCCCTGAGAGGGCCTGTGAGGGGTAGGCTAGAAGCCAGTCTTTACTCCTCCTTCCAGTCTTACAGGCTGTCTCTGAGTGGGTCTGGGCCCTTAGAAACCTGATTCCGGGGGCCAGATGGAGGGGGCTGGCCAGATTGGGTGACAGGGAAACCAGAATCCGGGTGGCCTGGCATATGGGGGCAGAGAGGGGCTCCTGGGATTCAGCCTCCTGGGCTAAGGGGTTCCTGATTCCCAGCACATTGCCTGCTCTGGGGGTCTCTGGTGCCTGTAATCAAGTGTTCTGAGGTTTGACTGCTGCTATGCCAGGAAGAGAAAGGGAAGTACCTGATGTGAGCATTCGTGTGTATGTGACCAACTCTGGGGTCAGCAGTTCAGCAGCTGTGTTGATGTGGGGGGGGCACGTATTTCAGTTTCCCACATACAAACAAACAAACAAAACGTTAACTCCTGAGACAGCCTGGGGCCAGACATGCTGAGGATGGACAAAGTACAGTGCCTGGTGGTGTGTGGGGTGGTAGGGCCAGGCCCACTCCCTCCCACACCGGCTGCTGGGCAAATGAGTGAACTAGTGGGAGGGTAACCCGAAGAGGCTGGTATTGGGGCAGGTAAGGTAAGCTTTGGGGAGTGTCCAGCAACACGGAAAAGCATTCCTACTTCAACATACATCCATCTGGAGTAGATTCCCCCCTCTTCATGGTGAGGAGCTCTAACTTCCCTTTTCTCTCAAGTTGAGGATAAAGGAAGGTGATTTCTCTCTGTGTTGCAGTGATCGGGGTCGCAGGCCCCTTTCTCCTCTCCAGGAGGGCTTTCCTGGAGTGCTTCCAGCGGGAACCAGCGTGGTGGGCCGACCAGGCTCCAGACCATTCACCTTCCTGTGGCAGGTGTCCCAAGGGAGGGGGAATTGCAGCTGGCGCCCTCTGGTGGGCGAGGTTGAAACCGCCTTTGGCCGTGGGCTCCCCATGCCGCCTTGAAGGGGGGCTACGTGAGCGATCTCGCCCCTGAGTGGCCCGGGGTGTCGAAGTTAGGCAGAAAGCGAGGAGTAAGTCACTGAGGCTGACTGTTTGGGTTCATTGATTGATTGATTCATTCATTCATTCGTTCGCTAGAAGAGCTCTTGTTAGAGCCCTTCTCTTCTTCCTCTCACCCATAACCTCCAGAGTCCTCGGCACGTGCTTGGTTGGGGGCGCGGGAGACTGGCTGAGTGCAGCGAAAAGTCATCTCTGGAGGAAGCCTCCCCAACCCACCCATCTGCGCCCTGTGCGTGGCGCAGCTCGGACATTTACCCCCTGCGAAGCCGCTGGAGCGCTCATTGTAAGCCTTGACTGTTTCCTGGGTGGCTCTCCCCGCAACCCAGGCAGGCGCCGAGCGCGCTCCTGCCCGCAGTAGGGGCCCAATCCACATCTTCTCCTTCTTGCAGGACTTTCCTGGCCCGAAGGGGCGCCCGGCCGGCCGACAGAGCTGGGAATTGTTTTTTCTCCCTCTCCGCCCCGCCTCTCGCTGCTGGTTCTGTCGGCTCAGCGCACAGTAGGAGCACTGCCAATTCGCTTTGGCCCCGGAGCACTGAGGGATGAAGGCGTCCGCCGGGGTTTGCAGACTGCTGGAGGACGGGCAGGCCTGTATTCGGGGGGCGAGGGAGACGACTCCCAGGCAGCGGCCCCAAGTGCTTAACGTAGTCTCGGCGATTTGCATTTGAACAGTCGGTGGAGAGTCGGCGGCGCTTTGAACGCCGGGCGCCGAAGGCGCGCAGTGGAGCTCTCGGCAGTCCGGGCGGCCCCGCGCAGGCTGGTGTGGATGTGAGGGGCCCAGGGTGGGCCGGGGGCGAGGGATGCGTTCGGAAAGAGGCTGAAGGTGTGTGTTTGGGTCCCTGCGAGGGCGTGTTTGCGGAGAGGGGCTATTTGTGTTGGCGAGGAGTGTGTGTTTGTGTTTGCAGGAGGCGAGGGTGTGTGTGTGTGTGTGTGTGTGTGTTTGTGTTTGCGGAGTGTGGGGGCGGCCGGGAAAGGTGGCCGGGCTGTCACTCAGCGATCAGGTTGACAGGCGCTCCCTCATCAGGGCCGGGGAGCTCTGATTGCAGATTCGAGGAAACAAAATAGCAATTGTAATTACGGGGCTTTGATAAGATAAAGGAAGGAGAGAGCTGGCCTGGAAGGGAGCAAGCGAGGGAGGGAGAGAGTGGCCTGCTGGGGCCCCGACGGAATATTTGCATCTGTCACTCACGGGGCGTGCCGGGGCAGTACCGGCGCCCTATGTGAGGGTGTCCCCATCTGCTCCCTCGCCCCTCCCCCTACACCCCCACCACAAGACATATAGACTTTTGGGGAGATGAGAAGAATCTCTAAAACTGATGAGGGTTCATTTCAGGGGAAGTTCTCCAAATGTAAAGGAATTCTGTCCTATAGAAAGACCCCTTGATAGAGGTTAAAGTGGATACTAAAACCTTGACCTCCACACTTTTAGGTCCCAGGACGCCCATCTCTTCTGGGGAGTGGGTTAAGATCATTGAGGCTCAGCTCAGGGACTTCAGAACCTTCCGCGAGCTCCAGAACCAGGGTTAGACCTGAGTCAGATGCTCTCTGGCCTCCATCCCCACTCCAGGGAAGGGCTGGTGCCCAGGGTTGGGGCTCCAAGACTATGCACACTGAGCATGGGCTAGACTGCCCTGACTCCGGCCTGGGTCCTGCTCCATGCTGTTCTCATCAGACTGTTTTCAGAGGGCTGAGTCCCCAGTGGGGAGAAGGCCCTTCCCACCCTCTGCTCTCCATCTCTCCACTCACTCATTCATTCATTCATGCACACAAATAAACATTTTCAGGGGCCTACTATGTGCAGGGCATGCGTTTAAGATGGTGAGCATTCTGCCTGTTTGAAGCAGTACAGCTGGGGAGGTAGAGACTCAGCAAGCAGCCTGCAGGCCTCTAAGACAGAGGACAGTAAGGAAAAGAGCTGGTTTGGGCCGTGGGTACCAGAGCCCACCTCACCTTTCTCCCTTCTAATGGGCTCACCTCTTAGTGGGGTTGAGAGGAGACAGTGCAAGTCCAGCCTTTAGCAAATATGAGTGCTCAATAAAAAGTGGTGCTTATGATTATTATCTGAAGGCAAGTCTTCCTGGGGAAGCCACTCTTGGGCTGAGGTCTAAAGGTTCAGCCAGTTTCTTCATTGTTCATTCATCAAATGCCAACTGTAGAACAACCCCGCCCAGCTCAGTGCCATGAGCTGCAAGTTCCGATCTAAAAGACATGGTCCTTGCCTGGAGGTCTGTGTGTGCAAGAGCCAGAAGAGTGAACAGACTCCTGGAGTGGGGGGGAGGGGGGGCATGGGACAGGTAGGCTCAGGGAGTCTCCTTCTCTGAGGAGGGATGAGGTCTTGAGACAAGTCCTCTGACTGTAGTCTCATCTATGCATTGCTCAGTGTTAGCATTATGGCTGGGAGTAGGAACAGGTGGGGCATCGGGACAGGTGGGGCACGGAGAAAGGGGAGGTAGGCAGAACTTGATCGTACTGCTGGGCAAGGACCTGCCTACTGCCCCTGGCCTAATAGCTTCCCAGGACCACCCTAACCCCTCCAGTCCAACCCCCAAGGACATGGGGTGCCAGTGGGGCAGGGGAGGTCATGGGTGGATACAGCAGCTGGGTAGGGCATCAGTGGCTCAAGCTGCTGCTCCGAAGTGTCAGTCCCAGGGTGTCTCTGCCCACCCAAGCTGCTGCCAAAGAAGCACCATGGCTCAGGGTTTCCAGAAGCCCCTGGGGGGAAGCAATGAAGGGCTGGGAGAGGCTTAGACACTACTTCCTTCGGGGACCCCCCCCCATGCTTGACACAAAGCACCAGTCCACGTCTAGTCCAGTAGGTGTGTAAATGCCTCAGTGCACAAATACTGAGGCTCAGAGAGGGAAATGCGAGGCGGCCTGGATCTAAGTCTCTTCTCCAGGAAAAGCAGCTCACAGTCGTTATTTTTGCCCTCTCCGCCTGCTGCTCTGGGAGGGCGGCAGCGACTATAGGTCCTGCTAGGGACCCACAAGGGTGGCTCATGGTGCCTCTCAAGCTTCAGGTTAGTGTGTGTGGGACGGACGCAGGGGTGAAGGTGATAGTAAGGGAGGGGACATTTCTCGCTCTCAGTATCTTTTTGGAGACGGGGCGAGAAATAAGAGATCCGCAGCAAGGGTTACTCAGCAGAAAGGCGGGGATGGGGGTTCGGGTCCCCGTCGCAGGGAGCGCACAGCCATTCCCTCCCGCTTCCCAGCGGCCGCTTCCAGGGGACACACACGGCCGAAGCACACAGTAGGTGGCTCAGAGACCCGCCGCCTAGTCTGAGGCATAAGCGGACCCGGCCCCACGGTGGATACTTGGCACCTTCCGACCCCGGCGCACCCGCGGTCCAGGAAGCCCCAGCCCGAGGCGCCCCCCCCACCCCCATCCCCGCGTGTCCAGACCCCTAGAGCAAGCAAGGGGTCAGCCCCGGGATGGGGGGGAGGCGCCCCCACCGGCCGCTCCCCGCCCCTCCCGCGGTCCCCAGACCCCTCCCCTAGCCCAGACCCCCAATCCCAGACCCGCCGGCCGCCCCGCCCCGGTCCGCCCCGCCCCCGCCCCGGGCTGCGTCCGGGCCCCAGCTCCCAGCCGGGGGCTGCGGGCTCCGGCCGCCCGCCCCGCGCTCCCCCCCTCGCGCCCGGTGCGGCGCCCCCCGCCCCTACCCCTCCCCCTCCCTTCCCACCTACCCACCCACCCTGCCGGCCCGTTACCCTCCCGCCCGCTCCGGCTCCTGAGCAGCCAGCGGCCACCGGCTCCGGCAGCGGCGCAGAGCCACTCGGCACGGCGCGGCGCGGCGAGCAAGACATTCCACGGGACCCGCGGAGCCGCGTCCGGACCGCCGCCCGCCTCCCGCGCTCCAGCTTTCCTCGGCCGCCGCCGCCCTCGGCTCGTCCGTCGCGGCCGCCCGCGGGCCGGCGCGATCCCGCCGGGGTTCTCGGTGCTCCCCCGGCCGCGCGCCATGGGCAGCCCCCGCTCGGCGCTGAGCTGCCTGTGAGTACGGCCGCCGCCCCCGCGTCCCCGCCCGGCCCGCGCCGCCGCGCCCTCTCCGCTCACCCCGCGCCCTCTCTCTCCCGCCCGCTTTTGTCTCCCACAGGCTGTTGCACTTGCTGGTTCTCTGCCTCCAAGCCCAGGTAAGGCGCACTGCGCGGCGGCGGGGCCCGGGCGGACCGGCGGGGGCCGCCGGTTGGCAAGGTCGGGCAGGGGCCCGAGGACCGACCCTGCGGCCAGAGCAGCAGGGCTGGAAGGAACCTTAGGAATACAGCCCCGCACTTGCCCTAGGAGGGAGCTAGGGAACAGAGAGGGAGCGCCCTGCCTAAGGTCACACAGCTGGTGTGCGGCGAGGCTCGAACCCAAGGTTTCGGACTCCAGCGCTGTCTCCCGCGCATCCTAGCCAGGTTGGGGTGGATAGGGAGCTCTAGGGGCAGCTACACCTGGCTGCCGAGGAAGGGGGGAGCTGGGGCCTGGGAGCGTTCGTTGTCAGAAGTCCCGGTGACCGCCGCAGGGACTCTCTCCGCGGCTCTCTGGGGAGACTTGTGGAGGGTCTGGCCGAAAGATCAGGTGCCTAGGCTCTCTGCGCTCTCAACATTTGCTCCGTAAATTTGTCTTTATAAATGTCAGGGGTCGGGCAGCGCTGTCTCCCTACTTACAAGCGCCCTGCTTTTCTAGGAAGGCGTGGTGGTGGTGGGGGCGCGGGGGGGGGGGGGTCCCGCGGCGCTGGGCAGGGAGCTTGCTTTCCTGATCCTGGCCGGGAGTCCCAGGGTGTTTCCCAACAGGTAGGTCCGGATCGTTCCGGGATTCATCCTTGCTAGGCTGGGTCTGCCTGACTTTCCTGGGTTGGGTGTTGTGACCGGAGCTGGCATGTTGGGGGAACCACCCAGCCCCTGCAGTTGGCCTGGGGTAGTGGAGGCGCGTGCAGGGCGATGGGGGCCACTCGGGCCCCTGGGCAGAGTAGCATTATAATGGCGTGTTGTGTATTTTTCAATTTCCTAAAGGTAACTGTTCAGTCCTCACCTAATTTTACACAGCATGTGAGGGAGCAGAGCCTGGTGACGGATCAGCTCAGCCGCCGCCTCATCCGGACCTACCAGCTCTACAGCCGCACCAGCGGGAAGCACGTGCAGGTCCTGGCCAACAAGCGCATCAACGCCATGGCAGAAGACGGGGACCCCTTCGGTAAGGCGAGCTGTGCCGGGCAGGGTGAAGGTAGACTGTAGAACATGCCCTCCTTCCCCTGGCTGGCCTGCCCTGACTGGACCAGCCAGCCCCATCTGTGCTGGCCAGAGGCTAGCTCTGCTGTGCTGGCCAGGCTCCCCAGCTCAGAGGGAAGGAGTTAAGGCAAAAAAGCATCTTGGGGGTCAGCTGGAGAAAAGAGGGCTAGGAAAGGGGCCTTGGGGAGTACTTGGCCCACAGGTATCCCTTCCCCGCCCAGCAAATGAATGAATCCAGGAGTCTCCCTTTCCACCTCCGCCATTCACACACCCCCTCCCCAGCTGCAGGTGGAGACAGAGGGTTCTGCTGGAGGGGCCACAGGTTTAAGGGAAGCGCTTGAAAGAGGATATGTCACCAGGGTCCACAAAAGGAGAGTTGGGAAAGAGAAGGGAGAAAAATCCCCCCACACACACAGCCCTTCCAGCTTTTACAGGGGGTGCCATGAACCTTTAAATATTTTGATCAGAAGGGCCAATTGCACATAGGCACTGGGCTTGGGAAGGGGCCCTCTCCACTCCACTGACCCAGGAACCCAGGTGGCGGTTGGAACCAGGCTCCTGACTCCTCATGGGGTGGTGAGTCCAGGGAGCTACTGCAGGGCAGAGAGGCTGAGGACTGATTGATTTCTAAAACATTCAATATTCCTGCCTTGAAACCAGGCCAATTTCCAGAGTCCTGGACGTACCAAGAGAAAAGCAAGCCCTCTGGGCGGCTGGTGTTGTTTTTAGAGAGCGATTATTGTGAGTTTAAAAACCTTTAAATAATGACCAAGTTAAACAAGCATGAAAGGAGAGGGGAAGACTCTATTAAAATGTAATAAAAAGGTGAGGCATTTTAAGAGCTAAGAAGAAAAATGAAGAATGATATAAAACAGAAAAAGAACGAGCCTTTTTTCAGATGTGGAGTTTGAAAGGAGTTGCAAGTCTGTAAATGTTAAAAAAGAGGTTCAAGATTGTTCTCTATGAATCTCTGGAGAGACCCCCGCGTCTGGCAGAGCGATTAAAACTCTTCTTACTTTCACCTTTTTTAACATTTCCTGAATGCTTTCTCCTCTTCTCGAGCCAGTTTGGGGGATCGAGTATGTCTCACTGCATTTTTTCTGCATCGACGTAGCTGACTTCCCTTCAAAGCTGGAGAAGGAGACATAATTTTCCCGGGATAAATCTGTCACTGGGGTGGAAGAATAGGTTTGAAAATGTTAAGCTTTCCAAAAGGCCGTTCGGGAAAGCCGCCGCAAACTGCGGCCCCAGCTCCCCAGCTCCATCCAGGGAGGGGAGTGGGGGCTCTCAGTGGAGGGAGTGGGGGGGGGCCTGCCTGGTGGCCGGGCTCCCCCGCTGGGCTGGCAGGACCAGCCTGCCGTCCCTTTGTCCCTCCAAACTGGCTGCTTGCTGCCCTTCTCAGCTTCCAAGGAAAGGGAACGAATGCTTAGCTCCTCCTGGGTTTACTCCACTGGAGCAAATGGTCCAGCACATCCTTGGGTTTTGGGGAGGGAAGAAGAGGCGGCTGGCCATGGGGGAGCTCATCTTCCGACCTCAGAAGTCTGATGCCCACTTCTGTCCTTACAAGTGTAGGAAGCTTTCCAGGTTCCCTGATCCCTGCCTGGCAGGCAGGAGTGGGAGCTGGAGGGCCCAAGAGCAGAGGCATAGGGTGTGCAGCTGGGACAGTGTGAGTCTGGGGGAGAAGAGCAGAGAGGTTCGAGTTGCTTCCCTGCGGGTCCCAGGAAGGGAGAGAGGGATTGTTCCAGTCCCTGTCTGCCCCATTTGGCCAGAATCCTCAGAGTGGGATCCTCTCGCCCCTTCTCCCGTCAGTGTCCCTCTGGCCCTACCAGCAGCGACCCCTTGCTCTGGAAGGCAGATCAGGAGAGGGATGAGCAGACTGGCTGGGTCCAAGAGGAGGTGGGTGGGAGGGGAGGTGACAGCTGCATTTCCCTGGCTGACTTGGAGCCAGACTGGAGAGTTGGCCATTGGGTCCCAGCTCTGTGCTTATGTGAAGGGGTGGGGGGGAGTCACAGGCTGGGCGGTGAGGGCTGCCTTGCTGACCTTGGTGCCCATCCCCCCCATTAGTTTTGGGGACAAAGAAGGTGCTGCCTTGTTAGTGCAGGCTGCGAGACAGCGCTGGGAGTTCCAGAACTGCTTTCTCGAGGAGGGAAAAGGAGTAGAGAGGACAGGAGACCCAGCCCCTCCTGCCCTACTCCCAACAGCTGAGTCAGCCCTCATTCCCTTCTTGGGGACAGCCTCAAAGGGAGGAATTACACAGGGATGAGACAGGGACCAGGACTTCTGTGGCAAGGCTGTCTGAGGGAAGGGCACAAGGGAAGAAGGCTCAGAATTCAGCTCCCTGTCTCATCAGCTTTCCAGACTGAGAGGCAAGCATGCCTGATTTTCTCCCCTCCTCACCCACAGAAAGTGTTTGGTCACTGGGGTGAGAAGCCCAGCTGTGATGGGGGTTGAAAGAAAAGACTATTTGAGTCATTGCTTTCTGGACACTGGGGCTGGGGACAGTGGTGACTGGGAAGCGTGGAGAAGAGCAGAAGCCTCCCAGCTGGGGTCTGAGGTTCTGGGAAAGCAGCTGGTTGTGCGCAGGCTGCGCATGTAGGGAGAGTGGTCCGCATCCCTGTCAGAGCAGGGGTTTGGGGGGGCAGTGGCCAAGGCTGTGAGTTAGAACCCGAGGTGTCAGAAACGGGAGAGAGTGCTTTTAGGTTTCGCCTCAGAACTCATGTCACTGCTGCACTCCAGAAGTTTGTAGTGACCTGTGAGGCATGTGCACATACTGCTTTGAGTTTGAAGGATTCCCAGAGATCTTCTGATGAGAGTAGAACTCTAGTCATGAAGCCTTGACATGGAAGTCAGTACCGTCCGATTTTAGACAAGGGTCTGTTCAGTTTGATGGCTCCAAGATTCCTCTGCAGAACCCAGTTTGTGCTTCATGATCTTGTCCATCTCCCTGTGTACCGCCAGGTGAGGGGCCTGAGGCCCAGGAAGGGGACGTGATCTTTCCCACTGTCGCACAGCATATCGGCAGCTGGGCTGGGGCTGGAGCCCACATCTTGGGTACCTGCTCTTGGAGCAGTTGCTACTGGGATGTGACAGGTCTGAGGGTCAGCTGGGGTGAAGATGTGGTACAGTGGGGGTCAGGGCGCTTCCAATAACCATCCCCCCACCTTCCCTGACAGCAAAGCTCATTGTGGAGACAGATACCTTTGGGAGCCGTGTTCGAGTCCGAGGAGCTGAGACTGGCCTCTACATCTGCATGAATAAGAAGGGGAAGCTGATCGCCAAGGTGAGGCCCCAGAAGGAATGGAGGGTCCCTGGGGCCTGGGGAGGGGGCTGGGCTGGCAGAGCTCCTCCAGGATCCCAGAGAGACACAGGGCCACCTTGGGGTCACCTAACGACTGGGTGGGGATGGGGGGAGGTGAGAGAAGGAAACTGAGAGATGAAAAGCTATAAAGGCAAAGGAGGAAGAAGGGAGGCTAGGGAAGGGGCTGGTGGGGGGGGTGGTAAATTCCATATATCTTTTTAACAAATCGCCAAATTGCTTTGCTATTATGTCCAATTACATGGTACCAGCATTTGGAATGTTCAGTAAGCCGCAGGCCCAGCCCCTCAGCCGAGCTCTGAAATGGCCCCATTAGTCACGGCTCTTCTCCAGCCTCAAGCTCCCCGCTTCCTGGGCTCTGCGTCTCCCCTCAGGCCTCCCCTCCCCCATGGGGTGGCTGCCCTGGGGCCCCTGGGGTCCTGAGGGGCGGGGGGTGAGGGTGGGGGGGGATGTGTGGTGCAGCTGGGGAAACGGGTGCGAGCCGCTCGGCCAGACTGGTGGGCAGGAGGCCAGGGCAGGCAGGGTCTGGGCCCCCTCTCTGGCCCTCTGTGTTGGGGCCCAGCCCCTCCGGAGACAGCCATGTGTCACTGCTGCCCGGGAGGACAGGAAGTTGCCGGGTGGGCTGCGGCTTGTGAGGGATTAGAGAGCGGGTTCCCCGGGCGGGGGTGGGGCTGTCGCTCGTGCCCACCCTGCCATCTGCTGGGGTGCCCACCTGCTGTCTGGGGCCGCCTGCCCTCTGCCTCCGCTGGGGTGGGGGTGGGGTGGGGTTGCGGCTCGGGGGCCGGAGCCCAGTAACGCCCGCGTCTGGCCCCACTACCTGCAGAGCAACGGCAAGGGCAAGGACTGCGTGTTCACGGAGATCGTGCTGGAGAACAACTACACGGCCCTGCAGAACGCCAAGTACGAAGGCTGGTACATGGCCTTCACCCGCAAGGGCCGGCCCCGCAAGGGCTCCAAGACGCGGCAGCACCAGCGTGAGGTCCACTTCATGAAGCGGCTGCCCCGCGGCCACCACACCACGGAGCAGAGCCTGCGCTTCGAGTTCCTCAACTACCCGCCCTTCACGCGCAGCCTGCGCGGCAGCCAGAGGACTTGGGCCCCGGAGCCCCGGTAGGCGCCGCCGCCCTCCCCGCCGCGCGGAGCCGCTGGTCGCGGGGGAGCACAGAGAAACTCCGGGAGCCGAGGTCCGCGCTGCTGAAGGCTGGGGAGGAGCTGGGGGAGCCCCGGGTTCTAGCCTTTGATAGCTGTCTGCCGTTGGGTTTTTTGTTGTTGTTGTTGTTTTGTTTTGTTTTTTTAAACAAAAGAGAGGCTCTATTTTTGTATTCCACTTGGCTGTGGTGTCTGTCTTCTTCACTTTCGGGAAGGCCGGTAGTGGCCTAGACTGGGATTCTGGCGGGGTTCCCTCCGGGTCAGGGGGCTTTTCCAGGCCAGCAGAGGTGCTCCTGAGATCCCAGCGCCTGCAGGACAAGCTGGCTGGGCAGCGGGGAGCCCACTCCCCGCCTCACCCCGAGGCAGGGGCAGGGAGGAAAGGGTGAGGACTTAGAGCAGGTTTTTAAGGCTGGGTGTGGGGAGGGGGTGGATGTCTATTAATTGTTATTAAATGACTGAAATATTTATTTAACTTGCATATTAAAAATGTGTGTTGGACAGCAAGTCCTGTGGGGGTCGGCCCCTCTCCCTTCCCCAGCTGTTGGGGGGGGTCCTAACCCTAACTAGTTCCCACAGCAGCCTCCCTCCAGCCTGACTTAGGACCTGTGCCTGTCATTGTTATGGAGGGGCTCTCCTGATGGGACAGGAGCAGGGAAAGGGGCAAGAAGAGGCTCTTAGCTGGTCCTGGAGCTCTCAGACCAGGACCTCCTAGCTCCTTGGGGGAGTCATTGCCAACACTTCCCCTAGCCACTTCTAGGGCAGAAAAGAGGGCTCTGCTAGGACCAGAGCTGCTTTCATGGTTTCAGTGAATCTTTATTTTCATTTTTTGAATATTTTATTTATTTGTCAGGGAGAGAGAGAGAGAGTGAGCGCAAGCAGAGGGGGGGAGTGGCAGGCAGAGGGAGAGGGAGAAGCAGGCCCCTGCTGAGTGAGGAGCCTGATGTGGGGCTCGATCCCAGGACCCCCGGGATCATGGCCTGAGCTGAAGGCAGACGCTTAACCGACTGAGCCACCCAGGCGCCCCTCAATGAATCTTTAAAAAGTGCCTCTGTGTGTGTGTCTAGATCTGTGTGGAGGACAGGCTGGAGATGCCAGAGCTGGCGCTTTCTGAGTATCAGGCTCCAGTGGATGAAAGAAAAGCAGCTGCCAGGGCCCAAGGTGGGATTACGCTGGAGGGCAGACCGCCAAGACGGGTGCTGGCGATTGAGACATGGAGTGGTGCTGACTTTTGAGGCTCTGGGTAGAGAGCTGTGAGCAGAAGTTCCTGAGCTCAGGTGCTGCACCAGGGCCCCGGGGACCATGGCCCTGGGAGAGGCTACCGACCCTGGAGAGATGGGGCCCAGAGGGAGAGGAGCCGGGCAGGGGACCAGGAGGGAAGTTCACGGGTGGAGAGCAGGACTCAGACTCTGGCCCCGGAGGAGAAGCAACCGCTCATGGGTCAGAAGGACTGGCCCAAGATGGACCTGCTGTGGAAGAAGGAAGCCCAGGCCGCGCTAGGGCAATGATGGAGTAGGTCATGGGATGGGCACAAGGGCTGGCCCATGGTGGGCAGAGGACTGTGTGTTTGGATGCGGACTGGAGAGCATGGCATCACAGCACATCGAGGGACAGCCCAAGCCCAGAGGCATCAGGTCTCCTGAGGGCAGAGCTGGCCCCGTCTTCATAACTGAGGCCTCCCATTCTGGCCGATTCTGCTGCCTTCTTTTGACAGTGCCCCTGGGCTGGTCCCACAGCGCAGCTACCGGGCCAATCCAGAAACCTCTTCCCTCTGGGCCTCTGTTCCTCTGCACTTCCTTGGAGTGGGGGGCGGCACCCCAAGGCTTCCTAACCACGTGGACCTCTCAGAGCTGAAGCCGCAGGTTCCAGGGTCAGGCCATCCAGGTGGACCAGGAGCTCCATGACTCAAGGGGAAGCCTTGAAAGAGAGAGGCTGGGGATACCCTGGGCTCTGGCCATGCCACCTCCTCTGGCTTGCCAGGGGGTGAGAGGCTCCGGAGAGAGGAGGTGTCTTCCGGGCGCATAGACGCCAGGGATGTGGGGAGGGGCCCTAGACATCTCTGTTCCAGCTCCCCCAGCTCTTAGTGCCTCCTCCTCTGCTCCATCCCCTCCCCTCCCCCTTTAATTAATTCTGGGTGAGCAGCCTGGCTTTATTGTGCAAGGAGCTCGGGTCTCACTGTGGGAAAAGTCACACCTTCTGAGCAGCTTCTGATGCCATGCAAATGAAGAGACCGTCCAGGAAACGCTTTCATCTGCACGGCCGCCTGTCCAGCCCCCAGCCCAGTAATTGCCCACATTTCATTTGTTTGAGAGCAATTCCTGGGGGAAGCCATAGGGTAGGAGGGAGTCTAGGGTGGGGGTGGAATGTCAGGCTCTCCCTGCCTGTGATCCTGGCCACGGAGTGGCAGCTGGTCACTGGCTAGGCCAAAGCCATTCCTGCAGCCCCCCAGGGCCAGGGACTCTCGAGTTCTCTGGCATGGTGGATGGAACTGTGCCGCGATGGCCGTGAGGGAGGAGAGGTGGGCTGTCCGGAGAGCCAGACCTGCCTTACAGAGAGGAGGGAGATGCCTGGTGGTGGTGGTGGTGGTGGTGGTGGTGGTTGGGGGCAGTGGAGAGGTGGCTGGGAGGTGGGGATCCTCGAGGCTGCCCAGGGCTTTGGGAAAGGGCTGACTTCTGGCAGGACCCCGGGCCGGGGACCTATGGGAGCAGAGCCCAGAGTGGTGGGGCCAGGCTGGGCTAGAGCACCCACCACCTTGTTTATCTTCGCCTTGCTGCCTCCATAGAGCCCTCGCTAATGGGGTTTCACAGCTCACTCAAGCTGCAACTGGCCAAGAATCAATCATTACCGGCACTTAGTGGTTTGATAGTTAACAGCCTGAACTGAAGCCAAACTGGTTGTTAACTGTGATAACAACTGATTTCAAGGGGTTATTGCCGGCCCAATATGCTCAGTCCATTTATTTCGGGGAAAACAAGCAGGGAGCCGTGGCAAGGCCCAGAAAAGGGAGGAGGACTGGCTCTTCTCCGCCAAAAGGTCTGCCATTCTGCCCTAGAGTGGGCGCTGGCTGTGAGGGCCCTGGGGGCCGCCCGAGGCCTGCGCCAGGCTTGAACTCCCAGGACTCCCTGAGGACCTGCCTGCAGGCCCAGGGGACCCACACAGAAGGCCTTCTCCTCAGTGCTTACCTCATGCTGATCCCCCCTCCTTTTCTTCTAGCAGTACTGCCCATGAGACCCTCACTGGGACTGACCCCCCATGAAGAGGAAGCAGGCCTAGTGGCCAGGCCTCTGCTCGTCCCCACCCAGAGGGTGGGGCTGGACCCCCTCACTCATTCCTCCCTCCCCCAGGCCTCTCAGAACGCTGCCAACTCCAAACTAGAACCTTGTCTTCCATTTCAAGGCCCACGAAGACTCCACCCAAGCCTTGATGAGAAAGAATGAGTGAGGGCTCTCTCCTCTCACTCCACCAGGTTCTGTCCAACCCTTCCTTCTGCCCTGGCCTAATGACAGAAGGGGAGGCTGTGCGCAAGCATCATTCTAGAATGCTGCTGCAGCGAAGGACCTCAGGAGTTCTTCAGCATCTATAGATAGACAGCCTAGGGCCCGCCCGGAAGACACATTTCTAGCTAGTACTAGAAATCAGGTGTTAATTTCCAGACCAAGGCTGCCCCTTGAGGACTGTAGGTCTTTCCCCAGTTCCATTCATTCATTTGATATTTATTGAGTGCCTATTGTGGGCCAGGCTCTATTCTGGGTAGAGGGACAAGCAGGAAATGAGACAAAAGCCCTGTCATTATGGAGCTCATATTCTGTGGGCGGGAGGGTGCAGAGCAAATGGTATATAGTATGGCAGACACTGAGAACCACATTGGGAAAAATGCAGAGACCAGGATGAGTGTAAAAGGAGGGTAGGGTAGTAGCAATTGTAAATAGGGTGCTCAGAGAAGGCTTCACTCAAATCTTAATGTTTAAGCAGACACCTGACCGAGGCGAGGCTTTCAGGTATCTGGGGAGGGGCCATCCAGGTGAAGAGCAAATGCAAAGCTTTCTGCATTTAGGGGAAGAGGAAGGAGGCCAGTGAAGTTGAAGCAAAGAAGGGAGGATAGCGGTGTGTTGGGGGGGAGGGGCGTGGAGAGGGCTAGGGGCTGAGGTGAGGCCGGAGAAACAGAAGGGGTGGTGGTGGAGGGCAGATCACATAGGGCCACTGAAAAGACTTTAGTTTTGATTCTGAATGAGATGGCAGACCATCGGGGGTCTTTGAGCAGTAGAGTGACATGCTCTGAATGAAGTTTTAACAAGCTTACTTTGGCTGCTGTGTGGAGAACAGGCAGCCGGGGGGGCAAGGGGGACCAGTTACAAAGTTATTGCAGTAATCTAGGCTAGAGATAATAGTGGATTGGAGGCAGTGAGAAGAGATTGGGATTTGGGGCAGTTTTTACAAGTAGGGATGGCAAGATTTGCTGATGGATTGAATATGGGCTGTGAGAGAGAGGGGTTGAGGGGTCTCCAGGGGTTTCGGCCTGAGCCACTGAAAGGATGGAGGGGTCATTTGCTGACACAAAGAAGATTCCAGAAGGGGCAGATTTTGAGGGGAAGAGTAGGAGTTTAGTTTTGGATACGTTACATCTCAGCTGACTAAAGAAATATGCAAGGGGAGACGGTGAGTGAGCAGTTGTACATGAGTCTGGAATTCCAGGGAGGGGTCTAGCGTTGAAGATACAACTTTGGGAGTATTTGGCGCAGGTGATTTTTAAAGCAGGAGATGGAATGGGTTCCCTCGGGAGTGAGCAGAGCTAGAGAAGAGAGGAGCCCCAAGCCTGAGCCCTGGCGCACTCCAAACATGAAGAGGTCAGGGCGGAGGGGGAGCCAGGGGAGGAGACTAAGAAAGTGTGGCCCGTGAGGTAGGTGGGAGGCAAACCAAGACAGTGTGGCATCCTGATGATGTAGGACCAAGACAACAATTTCTGGGCCC